TATCCATCATCCACCCAAATATCCATCTATCAAGCTATCGATCATCTTTTCATCCATCCATCCATCCACCCATCTGTCTGTCTATCTATCTATCTATCTATCTATCTATCTATCTATCTATCATCTATCCATCCATCCACCCACCTGTCAGAAGATGTCTTTGTGGGGCTTGTGGGGCTGTAGCTCCAGGCTCATGCCTGAAAGGGGGCCAGTGGATGAGGAAAATGTTAGCTAAAGGGGTTAAGAATCCAAGACAGAGACAAAGGATATCTGTCAGGAGAGTTGTTCAATCCCTACTGAATGCTGCCCTTAGTTTATTCTTATACCATCTTATATATTCAACCAACAGTGAGGACAAAAAGGTAGAAGACTTCTATTATCATGTATAAGGGGCAGAGATATTTACTTCCCTTAATCCTCCAGGTATTTGGTAGTCACACCTGCCATTTGGCCTTCAGAGTGGAGAGTAAATGCACCTGGGCCAAGCCTATTGTTATTTAGATAAGAGACATCCATTGTCAAGGCTGAGACATCCTGTAGCAGCCAAACTAATGTTTCATTGACAATAAGACAGATTTGAGCTCCCTTTCCATGGGTCCTATCTATTTACCTACCTACCTATCTATCTATCTATCTATCTATCTATCTATCTATCTATCTTGTGCTATCATTACTCATGCTCTTTTCTCTGCCTTCCATGTTCTTTCTTCTCCCTTGCTCTAATCACTCATCCATTGAACCTTGTTGCTTTCTCTGAGAAAATTGTCCCCACCTGAGTCCCAAGTCAGAGTTTAGTACTCCTGTCCACAACCATAGTGCCCTCTGATCACTACTAAATACCTGTCAGCATCTAGTGATGTAACTGCTCCTGTATGTCTAATTTACCCTGCAGGTTCCAGAAGGGGACCCATAGGTAACAAAGGTTGTGTCTAAAGCCAGTAGAGATGGTTAACAATGAGATGCAACAGCACAAACTGAACCTCGGCAGAAATATCATGTGTGTCTACTGCTTCCAGTGAAATTAGAGATACCTTGGAGCAGCATCTAACAATGTATTAAAGACGATGTTCTTGGGAAACACAGAACACTCCTCCAATACACATTACCTCACTTTGTAAGTGTAAGGAAACTGAGATCTGAGTTAAATCTCACTACTGGTATAAGACCCTCAGAATGAGGAGTCTCCCAGCTTCGGTCGGTACCCCCAAGAACTCAATGGCCAGTTGATGCTACACGCAAGAGGCTTTAATGAACAGGAAACATTTGTGCAAAAGGGCTCCCTCAGCACACAGGCTAGAGAGAAGCATCATTCTCCAGGCACAGGCATTTTTAAAGGCAAAACCCACAAGCTTAGGGAGAGGGTGTGACCCTCTGTCCATTGAGTGCATGACCCTTTGAGGCCAGATGGTCTTGCTGTTAGGGTCAGCAGACCTTAGGGCCTCGGGGTGTGTTATCTCTTTGTTTCTTAAGGACCCTATTTACCACCTGCTGACTCACTGAAAGGAGGGGCAGTGTGAATTCTTGGTATCCTGCTATCTCAGGGCCAGTGGTTAGCAAATTCTGTCCCCAGCATTCCAACTATTTGGGCTTCATTTCATTTCCTTGCTAGTTTAAGTCTTTAATTGGATGTCCTTGAAGTCTTGAATAGTCTGCTAACTAAATTAGATTTGTAAACTCCAAGAAGTTGAGACAGAAAATGCAAATGAGAGTGAGCCTGTACTGACAGTCCTAATCATAACCATGGTTTTGCCCCTGTCATGTGGCTTACAGACATCTGCTTGTAAGAGCCATAGATCCTTGTCCTGTTGATGTCAACATAGCCCATGGTTTGCTTTGGTCAACAGAATGTAAGCAACACAACCCTATGTCAGAGCAGAAGCAGTAAAGACATTCCCCTCATTTGGTTGTTTTTTCATTACCCACCACACAGCATATGCCAAAGGGAGGGAACCCTATCATCTAACTTGGGGCCTGCAACCATCAGAAACTGGCAAGGTGAGAAGGAAGTAAGTCAGTGCTGCTGAAGGCCACTAGGGTTAAGATGTTTTGTCATAGTATCCTCTAGGCTAAACTGTGGAGGAGAGCATCAGCCTGGGGGCTCTGTTAACTCCAGAATGTCTACTTGTGGCAGGGTCAATGGATCCTGCCACTGTGAGGATGCAAGCTCAGTCAGTCATGCCAGAGGAGCCTAGCGATGCATGGTGACACATCTGTACTCCAAAAATTGGGAGGCTGAGGTAGGATTTCAGGGAGCTGAAGGAACACCTAAGCTAAACACTGAGACACCATCTCCAAAAATAAAAGCAGAAGCAGACAAGGAACCTGGATGTAGTGCACTGGTACAGCATCTTCTAAGGAGGGTTGAGATTGGGTTTATCCCAGCACCAAACAAGAATAAAACTGAAGAAGATAAAGATATCTTATGCCAGCAGGAAGGTGCATGCCTGTAATCCCAGCTGAAAGGTCAGGAGTTCAAGGTCAGCTGCATAACAATTTTGAGCCTGCCAAAACTTCAAAGAAGCAAAGAATAATCTCTTTTTTTTCTCATTTAATACCCTGGTTTTAAATTGAAATTTACCTTTGTATTAGGCAGGGTTCTCTAGAATCATAGAACTTATAAAATGTTCTTCTGTATATACTGGAACCCTGAAGAAGTAGGTTCCAGTGTCAATGAAGACATGCATATGCAAGGGCAAGCCATTGGAGTACAAACCCTTCCTTCTTCCACTGTCCCTATACAGGCTTCCAGCAGGAGCTGTGGCCCAGATTAAAGGTGTTCTTCCTTCTTTAAGATCTGGATTAAAGGTGTGTGTCACCCAACCTCAAGATCCTGATCCAAGTCATGCAGTCTTCCTGCCTCAAGACCCAGATGACAATCCATTCCAGATGTAGACAAGTTGACAGCCAAGAATAGCCTCCATAACCTCATTTAGAGCAAAGACAAATATGTTAATCTTTAATGAAATCCTCACAGCTACAGGTAGGAACAAATTAGGGCTATGTTGTCCATTCCCTGGTTTTCTCAAGTCTAGGGAGTGTTATCTGCCCCTGTCTCTCTAACAGGGTCATTTTGAGCATCATATATATGTGTTTCTTTATGTTTAAAAAAGCATAGAAATGAATAAAACAAGTCCAGGAAGGAAAGCATTCGGACTAGCAAGCTGGACATACTAGAGGAACACAGTGCCAAGGAAGCCATTAGTGCAAACCAGGTTCTTTCCTGTACCTTTTTTGTTGGCCCTCCATGTAAAACAAAAAAAAAATGTTCTCCTCTGGCAGATGTAACCAGCATGGAACCATCAGAAATCATCTGAACCAGGTGTACTTGGGAGATATTAGTAGGCAGAAATGAATGGCTGAAACAAGATAGATGTGTCCATTGATCCAAGCTATTTTCCTCCTTTCCAACATCGTACTTCGGATTTCTCCAAGTCATCGCAAGGACTCACCCAATAGCACTTAGAGAAAAGTAGGTAAGAATATATAGAACCAACAAACCGATGAGATTGCGGTCAGATTGGAGACTTCAAGCACATTTATTTTACTCTTAGGCACTGACTCAAAAGACAGTTGTGTTTACCTGTCACATTCGAGTGATGTAAGTCATACATCGGATCTGATGATACTCCTGAACAACGAAGACTGGGGAAGGAAGTGTGTAAAGTAACTTTTTCCAGTTGCATTTTTCAAGTTTCTTTTCTATTATGCAAATCAGCCACTAGAGGTCGCCATATGGCTCCATTTCCACACAGGCTTCTATGACTCAGGCTGACATCCAATTTCCATCCTCAGAAGTCACCAGGTTTTGCACCCCTTTAATCCGGGTAGGATAGGGCAGCAAGTCCATCTGAAGGGACTGCGACTCTACTTTAGCTCACGGCCAGTTTCCGCTCCGCAGAGCCGAGGAACAGATGACTAGTGTTCCAAAGATCTTCACAGCAGCCCTTGCTGTCCTGCTCCCTGAGCCCAAAAGGGTGAGTGCCTGGAGTTTGTGTGGGCTGTAGTCCTGTTTCCTGTTAGCACTGATCTCCATAACCTTTCCTTCTAACCTGCTTTACAGTGGAGCTTAGAATTTATTTTTGCTTTCTACTGTTTACTTTTGTTACATGGGTGCATTTTAAAGGAAACTGTTCTAATCTAGGCAAACCTGGCTCCTCCTCTCACCCACCTGCCCACCGCAGGTGTATATACCCTGGATCTTTAAAGGAAAGGCTCCATCCACTTCTGTTCTCTTTTTCCGGCTCTTTCTCTGGAGGGCAGGCAGGACCTTTCCTGTCTCCCCCACCCCCATCCCTTCTGTCCTGTCTCTGTATCTCTATGTCTCTTTACCTTATTTTCTTAACTCCCTCTCAATAAAACTTTCAATATGAGCCACGTCTACAGGTCTCTGTTTCCCCATCTGCCGCCGTCCATCACCTGCCCAGGACCACGGTCTTCGAGCGGGAGCAGAGACCTGCCACCTGCGGTCCCAACCAATTATGCTTTATTCCTAACAGAAACTTCTTCTACAGGCACATGGACACAGGAGTTCAGATTACATTCCACTTCCCTGAAAGATTTCTCTTTTCTCATGTTTCTTTCTTTGCTGTTTGAATTGTCACAAATTTGAAAGCGTTTCAGTTCTCAAGCACATCCAATTCATACACAAGAAGCTATGCTCTTAATGGACCATAAGGACCTCCATTTCAGAAACATTCATACTCTCTGGCAGTCTAGCACCCGCCCTGACCTCAGCAGTTTATCTCTTCATCCAACTGACAGGTTCCTGCGGCTACCTTGCCATGCCCACTTCATTTACATAAAGTAAATTTAACAACACTGGCAATTCTTTGAAACGAAGAATTTAATTACATAAGTCCTCTCAGTTAGGCATCCCTCTGGTTATCTTTATTAACAGACTCTAAGTAACTTTGCATCATTTAAATACCCTCCACTGTGTATCAGCTGGTAGAGGCCCAGAGGGAAGGTGGACCTGAGAGATAGTGGCAGTTAGGCAGGCCAGGAACTAACTGTATAGCCTCCCTGACCCAGCTAAGTGAAGCTCTCAGTATCTTTGGGAATATAACCAGTGAAGCACCAATGGCAAGTGAGTATTTCTAACTTGATGATGTATTTATTAAACCATGAATTGCAACAACTTTTGTTTTCTTACCTAACTGAACAAATGAATTGAGAAGTACATTGATTTCAGTCTGGTGGATGGGTTTTAATAGGGCTAAGCTGGTAATGGGAGCTAAGACAAGAGTTGCACAAGGCAACCCACCATTCCGGGCTGAATCACAGTCTCCCAGAAGGAGACATTGCTTCCATTCTAAGCCTAGACAGAATTAAGGGAATTGTATCAAGTATAAGTAATATCTTTGTATATATAAATATGTTACTTTGTTTGGGCTATGAAGAGACTTATTTCTAACCTAAAGTTAGTAGTGAATGTTAAGGGAGATTTGTGGCCTTGCTTTTTCAAAAGTATACAGTTTCGCCTGCTGAAAAGAGACAATCTGTGAGTGATCATGACCTCTGGAACTGTGAGGGGTTTCTTTTGGTGGAACTGTTACTACAAAACTAAAAACTAAACAAACAAAAACCTTCTAATTGGTTTAAATGTTCTATGGCTGGGTGAATCTAAACTGGTGTGTGCATTAAAATAATTTCCATGTATTTTTAAAGTCATTTAAAGTAGACTTGTTTTGGGGGCTCCTTCTGGGAATATTTTAAGCAATGTTCTCTCAAACACAGTGATTCTGTGTTAGAACTGCAAGGGTCCAGGAGGTAGATGAGGAGCTGGTGTGAAGTGTATTTGCCCAGAGGCATAGCTGTGATCTGGGTCTGAGTGAGCAGAAAAGTTGTGCAGAGCCTTCTGTGGGATGCAGGGAGGTACAGAGCCTTCTGTGGGATGCAGGGAGGTGCAGAGCCTTCTGTGGAATGCAGGGATAGGCAGAGCCTTCTGTGGAATGCAGGGATGAGATCCAGACTCCTCAGCAGATGTATTGAGGCAGAAGTTAAGAACACAGGAGCAATGAATAGCAGAGCTTAATGTGGAAAACATTAAGGCAAATCATTGTCTCACCCGTGGCTTCATCTGGAAAGTATGGCTGTTGGTACCTGTCTCATAGCAGAAGGCTAAGCAAAGTACTAATGCAATGTCCTCTTCCCAGAAACTGAAACAAGGCAAAAATCTGTTTATTGTATATTAAGAATGACCATCATAGTAAGTATCGATGAGTGCCACTAAATAGATTCTAGCTATAGTAATCGTGACAGACTGGAGAGCAAAGCTGAATATATGCTGAATAGAATGACATATCGTCTGTTTACCATGGCTCTAGGCTGCTTCCATACCTTAGTGTGCAAGAATAGAGCTGCAATAAGTGTGACATGTCGGCATCTCCGGTGCGTTGATTTTGCATCCTTTCAATGTACAGCCACTAATAGAGTGGCTATGTAATATGTTTGAGGAAACTCCATACTGTCTTCACAGTAACTGCAAAAATCTGTGTCCCTACCAACTATTTATAAGAGTTACATCATTTACTCCAAGTCATAACACTTGTTATTTTCTTTCTTCCTTCCTTCCTTTTTTTTTTTTTTTTTTTTTAAGAATGGTATTCCAGCTAGCACAGGGGCACATGTCTTACAGCTAGATCTCTGTGAGTTCAAGGCAGTCTGGACACAGCACTGTAAGCCAGACAGGGTTATACAGTGTGACTCTATCTCAAAGCAAGATGCTGGCAACAAAGCTCCATGATTCAGAACTCTTGTAGCTCTTCCTGAGGACCTGTGTTCTATCCCCAGTGCCCACATGGCATCTCACAATTGTCTATAGCTCCAGTCCTAGGAAATCTGATGCCTCACTTAGCCTCCACCAGCACTAGGCACATACATACATCAACAACAACAACAAAAAACACAAAACAACAACAACAAAACACTCATACCCATAAAATAAAAACAAATAAATCTTTGTGGATAGCTGTTCTAGCTGGAGTGAAATGGCAAGTCCCTGATGGTAACTAGGGCTCCTTCCACACAATTGTGGCCTCTATTTTTTTTTTCAAGAAGCATCTGTCCAGATAATTTCTCTACTTTTAAAGAGTTCTCTGTGTTTTTAAGTATAGAAGCTCTTTGTGTGTTCTACATAGTACTCTGTCAGATGAATAGTTGACAGATTTTGTGCCATTCTGTAAGCTGTAGTAAATGCATTTTAAATAATTTGCTTGCCTTTTCTTTTTTTTTTTTTTTTTTTTTTTTTTTTTTTGCTTGCCTTTTCTTTACAGGCCATTCTCCTATAACTACCACCCTTACGCCTTCAACTTTAGATCACCCAGAAGAATATTCAACATCATTGCCAGAATTGGGTAGGGCCTACATTTTTGCATAACACATTTCCATGGTTAAGAGCACTTGTTGCTCTTGCAGATGGCCAGGGTTCCCAGCATCCACATGGCAGCTCACAACTGTCTGTAACTCCAGTTCTAAGGGATCTGATGCCACTTCTGGCTTTCATAGGCACCAGGGCGCATGAAGATACACATACACACACGCAAGCAAATACGCCCATAAAATAAAAATAATAAAAGTATTTTTTTTAATAACCATTCGAGCTGGGGTGAGATGTCAGCTCCCCATGGGCTATGGGAAGCTCATTTTAACTAACTTTCCTGTCTTTTGTATGCAGGATCTCTTACTATATCACCCACTCACCTGGTATCTTTAACTGTACATTTCAAAAAGAGCATCCAGTATCACTGACATTATTTGGTAGGTTCTGTGCTTTTATACAACAGGTTTCTAGACATTGGTATCTTATTTGAGTCTTCAATAAGGCAGATCTGCAACATCTTCTGGGGTCAACTAATTAACACTAAAATATTGACCAGAAATATCCCACGGCTTCCTCCAGGGGTAGGCTAGTGAATTTCTTTCCCTTGGCTTTTTAGTTACAGGATTTTTTCCTGCAAAGAGAAGCAATCATATTGTGCACTGAAGAAATTTTTTTAAAAAAAAAAAGGTTAGAAAAGCAACATGAGCAAATACAACCCCTGCTTCTCAGGAAGCCTGTGTCGGTGAGCAGTGCTTGCTGCTCAGTGGAGGAAGAAGTATGTCAGTGCTCACTGCATAGTGCACATTACATTTTACTTAAAAGTTCATGGTGAAGCTGAGCTGACTTTCAAAGGCTACAGTAAAGAGCAAGAAATCACAGTGAGTGATTTGGTAACAGTTTCTCATCATGGCTTTCTGAGGATTTGTTCCTATTTCGAGGTGGAAATTTGTTCTAAGAGTATCATAAAAGCAGAACCTCAGGCCACCCTACTGCTTGATGACTTCTACCATATCCCCAGAATAAGATGGTATTCTGGCCAATGCCTAATGCAGAGCTGTGAAGGGACCTGAAACATTGCCCATCTTGCCCTTCATTTTCTTGCCCCATGCTCACCTCAGAAGTCTGGGGAGACAGTTCTAACCCTCATCTCCCCCACAGATATCTCCTGAGATGTTACATCAGGCTCAAGTTCAGCAACTGGCCGAGGTTCCTCTAAGGTGCTATAGAACAAAGACACTGCTCAATTTCAGCAATGAACTTGACAGAATAAAGAGAACCAACCCACTCAACTCAGGGAAGAAAAATTTAGTGCTTGAAAGTGTGTGTAAATAGAGTAAAGGGGCTCTGCCTAGTTGTTTTTCCTCCAGCTCAGGCTGAAAGTGAGATCCACTTTGAGTAAAATTTAGCCTTTGTCCTATCAGTTTACCCCATCTCTCAGGACCTCACTTTGTCAGTATTTCCAAGCAGTTTCCATTCAGATAGCAGTCATGCATGCATGCTCAGTGCTGTTAGGAACCCTTGGAACTAAAGACTCTACTTCACTGAAACTATCTCAAAAAAAAAAAAAAAAGAAAAAAAAAAAAAAAGAACGGCTTCTATTGCCTCTGGCTAAATAGGATTATGGTGTGTATCTAAACATCGTGTGTATTTGTTACAAGAAAATGAGACGTTGTGCCGGTTGTGGTAGGATTTGTTGGAGGAGGCAGAGGCAGGAGGATCATGAAAATACTGAACCCCAACCCAAGCTCCAGTCTAAGTCTTATGCATTTGCTTCCATTATTCTACAAGTTCTTTGCAATATGTAATCCATCTTCAGGTGAAAGAAACAGGAATTTAGAACATTTTGAAAACTTACCTCTAGCCAGTGAGCAGCAAAGTAGTATCCTCATACTCAACAAATGCTCCATTCCCTCCCCCGCACAAAAAAGTCACTTTTTTCTTCTTTGGTTTTTTTGAGACAGGGTTTCTCTGTGTGGCTTTGGAGCCTGTCCTGGAACTAGCTCTGTAGACCAGGCTGGTCTTGAACTCACAGACATCTACCTGCCTCTGCCTCCCGAGTGCTGGGATTAAAGGTGTGTGCCATCACTGCCCCTGGCAAGTCACTTCATTTTTTTATCACCATCAAATATGCTTAAGATAATGTTCACCATCTTTGCCATCCTAATTGTTCAGTTTACCCAGAGTGCTTTATATTCATCACCTCTGTCTGTTTTTAGAATATCTGTGTTACTCTGAAAAGCAATCTTAGGTGTATTACCAGTCAGTCTCCTCCCATGCCCACAGCACCACAACGACTGCTAATTTTCTTTCTACTGCTATGGATTTATTTATTTTGCGAATTTCAGGTAAACAGAGTGGTACAACGGGAAGCATTTGTGAGGATTGTTTCTCTTAGGATAACATGTTTATATGTGCATATTGGAACATGAAGTATTCATTCCTTTTTTATGCCTGGAACTTATACTCCATTGAATGAATTAATCATTCATCGACTGACAGAAATTTAATAGAAATGTGTATATTTGGGCTCTTGTGAATCTGGTTGCTGTGAATATTCATATGGTACTTTGTGGGGGAGGGGGCACACATGCCACTATTAACAGAGGTAGAATTATAGAGTCATAGATATTGCATTTCGTTTGCTGAGTTGACCCCAGACTTTGCTCACAGGACCTGTACTGTTTATGTTTCTCCCATGAGGGTGTAAAAGTCCCAGTTTCTCCAGATCTTTACTCACCCTTGTAATGTACATCTTTTGAATTGCTGATGGTCCTTGAATTACCCTGGGGTAATATACTCTGCTGCAGTGAAAAACATGAACCTGATACATGTAGGCTACTAAATCTCACAGCTTCGGCCAGCCTCCCTTATATGTGTTCAGAGTGCTCCTGTCAGCTTACAGTTGGGCAAAATCATCTAAAAGAAGCCTATTTAATGTACAATGTTGAAGGTCTAGGATATTGAAAACTACAGAAGGTAAAAGATGTATGCACATGTATGTCCATGACATTTTCTGGTAATAAGCATGAAAAGTATTAAGCCAATTCACACTACTTTCGCAGACTGAATGGCCATGTAGCCATTTCTGATTTGTGCTTCCCTAGTGACTAATGACGCCAAGCAATGTTTAACACAGTTTTTGGCCATTTTTATTTCATATATTCTTTGGGGAGAAATATCTATTTAAATGTTTTAAATGTCTAAATTTTTTCATTGAATAGTTGTAAGAATTCTTTGTATATTCTAGATGTCATCTTATCAGACACATGACTTGAACATATTTTCTGCCATACTGGGATCATCTTTTTACCTTTGATACTGTCCTTTTAATGTATTTTTATGAACTCTACTTTCTATTTTATTGCTTTTATTTATGATGTCATATTCGAAGAACCATTTTCCAAAATTCAAGGTTATAAAGTATATGTCTCCATTATCTTCCAAGAGTGGTATTATATTCTATATGATAATTAAAATGTACATGCACATACTATGTGTGTATATATCTTCAATAAAATTTGAGTTAATGTTCTTATGTGACATAAAGAAAAAGTACTTTACCTTTTTTATATGTGGATATAACAGCTATTGAAAATACTACTTTTTCCCCATTGAATGGCCTCCAGCCAGTCAGTCATAGATACAAATTAACTTATGGACTCTCGATCCTATCCCATTGATCTTTATATCACTAGGGCAATTTCACACTCCAAACACTGGAATTTTTGTTCATTTGGTTGGCTTTTTCTGTTTTGTTTTTGTTTTGTTTTTTGTTTGTTTGTTTGTTTTTTGTTTTTTGTTTTTTTTTCCCATGAGTTTTCACCTCAAGAAGTTTGGATGTTCAGACTGTGTCCTTGGACACTGCTTTGACTATTTGGATCTCTTCATTCATGTGTGTTTTCCATTCTGTTAAAACACTGTACATACATACTCATTTAATGTGGTCAATGATTATATGATGTATACACTATTTGAAAATCTCAATCTTGAGTGACGAAAAATGCAGACACCTGGCCTTAGTGCCCCGCCCCACCTGTCCTTAGCTGGATTCATTTGCCTTTAGGTACCTTTACTCCAGTCCATGTGCTCAGTGTGGCTTCCCTTGTCACCCAATGATATTCCAGGCTTGGCTCTTCTTCTTACAATTGTGAGTTTGTCCTGCTTTCTTTCATAGGGGGAAGCCTTTAGTGAAGGTTCACAGTCTATCTTCCCGCAATTAAGCCGCCTCTAAACCCATGAGGAAACCCTAACTTCTTACTCTTCTGTAATATGGCCAGTCTTTGATATGGCCAGTCACATCGTGATCATATTCAATACTTAAAATGGAAGAAATTAAATTTAAAAATACAAAACAAGATGAATACAACTATCTATTTGAGGTCACCAGGACAATGGATAATGACACTAAAATTTGTAGCTTACTAGGAAAAAATATTACAGAAGTTTACCCGGTTGCCTTCCCTCTTGAACTACTTACTCTTTTGGGTTCATGTCTCAAAATCCTTCTGTCAGGCAATGGAACAATGTGCCTACAAAATAAGTGGGATCTTGCACGGGAATGTGAGTAGGCGTGATGACTTAAATGGGTTTTGTACTTAAATGTCCATGCAGTCTAAGTCTGTTGAAATCCAAAACCAAACATGACTCTCTGAGATATCACCAGAAGTATAGTCACTTCAGAGCTGGAAAATCAAGCCACTCATCCTGTGCCTCTGTTGTATAGATGTTCTGAAACTTCCACCAAGGGGCTTGTAATGAAATTGTCTTCCGCTGGCTCTTCGCCCGCGGAGCACCCAGTCACTTCATGTTTATTCCCTTTCTCAACTTCTGTCTTACACAGGTTCTGTCAGACCACATACAATGTCTCTCAGTGACGTGACTACCACTCCTGAATCCCCCATCTTCACACCGACACCGACATGGAACAACTCCTCTAGAGGTTTGTTGTATTTTCACCTACTCTCACTGGAGTGGATACTGTGATGTAGATTTCCTCAGTGGGATCCCATGGTGACTGTAGGGAAACCAGACCCATACTGAGAAATGCAAGTCAAGCAGCTGGGTTCCTGCTGCTCAGAGGCTCTGATGCAAGAAATAACACTGTGAATAAAAGAAATTGCAACTAGGAAAGTACACAAATGATAAATGTGACCCAGAAATAGGGAGGGTGTAAATAAAGGGAACCAGGATCGAAGGCCTTACACAGTCTGGAGCAAACCAGACTAGCTCTTCTGTGCTGGCCGGTTTCCCTTGAAAGAATTGCCTTGAGGGACCACCATGCCATTAACCTTAAAAGAATGCCAGTCATACTTGCCCAACAGTGTTTCTCCACAGATTAAATAGGAGGTAAGTCAGAGCCTATGCCTAAAGCCAGACAGACTCCAGGTGCCTGCAAACTGATAACCACCTGTGTGTTGAGATAAGGGTAAGCCTGTGGCATAGTTGCTTGTGTGATCTCTCTCTCTTTGTCTAGTTTTCTATAAGGAAGAAGGTAGATGGTCTGTTGTGGATAGAGCTTAGGGAAGGCACTCCACATTTAAAATAGAACCACAGAAAGACAAGGGATGGCTTCAGGGTCATGCGTGAGTTGGAATTATTGAGAATTATCTCAATGAATTCAATGAATGAAAGCAATAGGTTTCAGAAGCCAAGGAAGAAAAATTAGGCCAATTAGAACTGTTCTTTGGGCTCATAAATCTAATTAACAATCTCACTGAAGAGTAACTTCAACATGAAGCCAGCATGATAATGTCAACTGAAAAACACTTAGAGCCCATGGTAGACACACAGTGCTACTCTACATGTGTTCTATAAAGGACAGCTAGGGTGGTGGCACAGGGCGTTACTCATTTTCATGCATCAGTTAATAGTCAAACAACCACCCAGATATATAAAAATTATAATTCTCACTTCTCTGGGGGAAAAAAAACTGTAAAGCATAGAGAAATTAAGAAACTTGCTTAAGAATGCACACAAGCAATCAGCATCCTGTGGTTGAACAAAATGTCTATATAAAGATGGCAAGCTTTGATAAACTTTTATTATTTGGATATATTTTGCTACTCTCCAGGACTGAGAGTTCTAGAGAGTAGCAAAATATATCCAAATTCTTGGCTGTGTGATACCATGTCATGCGAAACAATTATTGGTAATAGAAACGGAGACTTCAGCTGTAGGAGTGTGAGGGCTTCATGGGTGAAAGGGCAGCAAAGAAAAAGAATTCTGTGGTATGGACTGGTGGCAGGAGACTGACTCTGTTAGGACTTTGAGGAAACTTCCAGAACCTTTTTCAGATGGGAAAACTGATGGAACCACTGCCAAATGTTCAAATGAAACACAGTAAGCATTTGGATTCAGATACAGGCCATGGCATAAATCTAGAAGATTGATAGCAGTTGGGGGCCTCTTTAGGCTGCAATAGAGAATAGAGTGTGTGGAGTATTGGCTGAGTCTCTGTTGTTCTCGCCATTTTCATGTTTCCGTATCACGATGGCAGTTATCAGGTGCTCCTCTCACACTTCCTCACACCCTTCCCCTTAGTTAATGAGCTGGGTGGTGAATACTTGCTAGGTATTAATTACTTTTCTGCTGCTAAAACAAAGTACCATGACCAAAATAACTCATGGTTGTTTTAGGCTTGTGATTCCATGGGAGAGTATCCATGTGACAGGAGGCATGAATAAATCACACCTGCAACTGCAAATACAAAGGAGAGAGAGACATTAGAAAGTGAGGCAAGGCTGTAATTTCCAAAGCCTGTCACCAAGCTTTGTCCATCTAGGCTGCACCTACCCATAACCTCACCAGAGAGTTCCACCAAGAAACAAGTGCTCAAATGCTCACTCAAATCAACACTTCAGTGTTGGAAAGTGATAAATAACTCTGCCCCAAAATGTTTACAGATAGGAAATCCTTTTGGCACTGGACAAACAATTGGTGTGTTCTTCCCTGGGGAAGATTATCCCTCCCATTCCCAGCATTCCTCGGTTGCCTATAGTTCTCTGAAAACATATATACAAGTAGAATTATATAGATTCAACAGGTAAAATTTAGGAATATATGTGTGTATATATATATATATATATATATATATATATATATATATATATATGTGTGTGTGTGTGTGTGTGCATGCAATAATATTTTTTTTAAAAGTGGCCATGAATTTGAAGAGCAGTAGGAAAAGGTCCATGGGAGATTTTGGAGGGAGAAAGGGAAAGGGAAAATGTAATTAAATTATAACCTCAAAAAGAAAAAGGGAAATTTATAGGCAGAGCTTTTCTGTGTCTCAGCAGCTTCTCCCAAATAACCATATAATGAACTGATATTAATTATAAGTGCTGGTAAATAGCTTAGGCTTGCCACTACTAGCTCTTGCAACTTAGCCCATTTCTATTTATCTATGTGCTGCCCCAAGGCTCATTCACCTCATCTATGAATGTCCCATGTTGCTTCTTCTGCATCTGGCACACAACTCCTCTGAATCCACCCTTATCCCTCCCAGCTTTCTCTCTGCCCTGAAAAATCCTTCCTAGCTATCAGCCAATCAGCTTCTTATTAACAACAAGAATAAAACATTTTCACAAAAGGATAATTCCACAGCAAAAACCCTGTAATTTCAAAACTTTTTTTTTTTTGTAAAGACATAACCTACTTATTATTCTTACTAACTTTGAAAACTTTGTATTTCAGGAAGAATTGTGCACAATACTAATGAGCCAGGTATGTTGGTGTGTGTTAATGAAATGTCAACCATTTCATTTTAAAATTGTGGTGATTTTGTTTTATATACCTAAGAAGTGACAAGGGTCTGTGTAAAAGAGAAGAATATGTGTAATTAACTTCAGTGACAAAAGCAAATATTCCTGATTTTGAAGGAAAAACATTTTTGACTTTGGAAGTAGCAATACATGATTTGACCTTTTATATTTCTAAGTTATGTTTTTGTATTTTTTTTATTGACCATGGACATTTGAGAAAATCTCTTCATTTTTAAAAAAAGCTGAGTGTTCCTCTTCCCATTAATTAATTGGTCTCATATAAAAAATTAATAGAGACCATCCCTGTCTCAGTCCTAATTCACCTTTGGGCATTTTTTTACAACCTCCTTTCTAACTAATGTCATGCCTGCTGCCCTTGGCTGCTGTGTACTGGCATGGATCACTAGTATTTTCTTCACTACCCTGTAGTTCTCAACTCTCCCTTACTACTTAGCCAATGACCACATTTCAAGTTGGAGAAGAGATGGATTTGAGAACTTTGTCTGCAAGCTATACTTTGTAAGCTATTTTTGCCTTTAAAATTAATGATATGCATTAAGACAAAAGTTGGACAAATGAGAGTGTTATTTTATCTGCATGTCTAGCCCTTGGTTGTTGACATCATTGATCAGCACTATAAATATTCTGTAAAAATGGAAAGTCTCTCCAACTTAATTGTCTTAAGTTGCTTCATTTCCGGTATGCTAAAGTTTGCAAAAGTATTTGTCGCTGTATCTGTGAGTGTGCAGGGAGTCGACCATAACAGGGCAATATTTAGAACTCAGGACTCTGCTTTACCATTGTCTGACTGGGCAGCTTAGCCTCATTCACTTGATGTAAGCTGTTTATGATACTTCCCTTCGAGGCCTGTGAATCTGTGATCCATTTCATACCTTTTAATACATAACACATTGTTTTCTCTCATACTGTCCAAACCCTCAGGGAGTTTGTAGATTTCCTCAGTCAGTGCCAAGTACCAACAAACTCTTGTCTGGGTTTCTGCCTGAAAAAGAACACTGAACTTGGCATCAGAACTCCAGGATCAGAGTTAAATGTTAATTCACTGTGTAGCTGAGATGCATAAAATTCCAGATTCCCACAAGGTTACTGTCAAAATCCAAAGTTTTTAAAGATTAAATGTGAACAAAACTATGACGTAGTAATGCACTTTCTGTGAGCAAGCAAGGTCATATCACCCTGTTTGGTTTTTCAAATGACACAGTTGATCTTTCCATTTCTTTCTTCTCTCCTGTAGTGACTATAGCCATTGTTTTGGGGTTGATCGCTGGTATAGTTGGAATTATCCTTCTCATTTATTACTTGATCAGCCTAATAACAAAGGTAAGAGTTCCATTTTGTTTAAAGTTCCATGTAAACAAGTTTGGGTGGCATATTCTTCAGGGTACAATTGAACACAAAGAGAAGCAAAATGTTGTAAAACTCCATCCTTTTTAACTGGACACATAAAGACACAAAATCCTCAACTGAACTGTTTTTTGCACTTGACAAATTTAAGGTGATTCCTGCATAGAAATCTATTCACCATGTCCCCAGTGACTGGCTCCACAAAATTCTTACATAATATGATTTAACAAATTTACATATATATATATATATATATATATATATATATATATATATATATGAGCTAGTTAAGTTGCTACTTGTATTTAATTTGTGAATAAAATGTTTAAGTCAATGTCATACTTACATTTAAAACTTTTATTTATTTCCTTTTTTAAGATTTATATTGTAAGTGATATTGCAAGCGTGTGTGTGTGTGTGTGTGTGGGTGTGTGTGTGTGTGTTTGCATGAGTTTGTGTGCACCGTGTTTAAGCAGTTGCCTCCAGAAGCCAGAATTGATCAAATGTGCCACGTGTGGGTGCTAGGAACTGAACCTAGGACCTCTTCAAGTGCAGTAACTGCTCCTAACCACCGAGCAGTCTCTCCAGCTCTACATCTACTTATTTCTACTCTCACTGTTTCTAAAATAAGTTATTCAAAATCCACCCATGAAGTTTCACCATGTGAATTTTTAATTATTAAAGCTATTTTTAAAGACACACACAGCACTATACTTTCAGGAATTATTTCTATGATTTGTTAAATATGTATTCAACAGCATTCTAGAGCATATGAATTTCTACCTAAGACATGTAAGACACAAACTTCGTGTGTGCATTTATGATACTGTCTCTAGATCTATAACACTACATCCTATATCCCAAGCATCAAGTCATGTAAGATTGACAGCTGGGCATTTAGCATCTCCTATTTTTAACCTCCCCCTGATCATTCCATGATAACTATGATTTGTATTATTTTGACAGAATTAGAGTGGTGGCCATACTATGGTAGCAGGGTGACTAAAAATGACAGGAAATCTACACAATTTCTTTGCTTGGATCTTCAACTACTTTTACAGGCAACTGCCATAAACATTCAGATCTAATACTTATTCTCATTATTCAATGTTAATGTGTCTTCCTTAGTTAAGTCAATCAAGGTCACTCATTTCATTATTTATTAGTAATTCAGCTGTATGTTAGTTTATTGGTGCTTGATTGTTATATAAGACATGCTGAATATGAAATGACTCCTTCATCTGAAGTCTATACATTATAGACAAATCATTCTCTGAGAAAATATGTGAAACCCTGAAATATTGAATTGGCAAAATTCAAAGAATATTCTCTCTTTATACAAAGAAGAATTTGAATCTGGGTAACATGACTGTGGAATTCTACTTCATTAATTTTTATTTATTTCCACATTTGCTATTTGCTAGAGAAGAGAATATGGAAAATTCAATCTATAAAGTAGTATGACCCCTGTTGAATTAAAATACTATTTAGAAAAGCAGACATAACGGCGGGCCAGTGGTGCAATGGATAACACGTCTGACTACGGATCAGAAAAGCAGACATAAATTACAATTAATGAACTGGACACAGTGGCCCACACCTTTAATGCCAACACTCAAGAGGCAGAGGCAGGTGGATCTCTGTAAGTTTGAGGCCAACAACTATAGAGAGAGTTCTAGGACAGCCAGGGCTACATAGTAAGACTTTGTCACAACAAAACAAAACATAATTTGAGTCAACATTCATATGTATCTATGAAATAGGGGCTTTCCACAGCAGAATTAGACTATATAACTTTCACAAAAAGAAAAGCAGTTTATAAAAAAGTGTTTTTATTTGAGGAATTTATATTTTCAGGGTATCTTTGACTTAGAAAATCCTGTTTTACGTTTGTTTCTAGAAATGTTCAGTTGACATACCCAAGAGTGAAGACACAGATGTGGCACCAAGTCCTATTGAACAGGTTAGTGGTAATTCTCTATTGTCTTTTGTATTTTGGGGAAAGGAATGAATTGGTGAATTCTGTCTTTCTTGGTCATGGGGAAGCAAACCAACTGGACTCACCAATGCTAATTCTTTTTTAATGTGAGAATTTGAGAATTGCTAGCTTTAAGAGTCTCTCCTAGGTAAAGTTTTTTTTTTTTTTTTTTTTTTTTGTTTGTTTGCTTGCTTTTGTAAAATTCTATAAGTGAAAAAGAAAAAAGATTCTTTGGTGAGCTCCTTAGTTCCAAACCTGCAAAGCAATGCATGTGAGAGACCCAGCAGTGGCTCAAGTATGATGGTCTAGCTGTGGAGACAGCCAGCTTCCAAAGCACACCCCACCTCATACCACCCCTTAACTTACAACCTTGAGAAAGTTACTCTTTACTTCCCCCAGCACACAGAAGATGAGAGAAGCTGATTGTGGATTGAAGGGTAGCCTTGGCTATGAAGCAAGGGTCTATGTGGAGTGCACATACATGCCTGTTAGCAAGCATCAGCAATTTAGACTCCATTCCTGAATGAGCTCTTTCACTCCTGCTCTCACTTCCATACACAGATGCTAAGTTAGTATACACACAAAAGATTGATTTCAGGGTATTTTGTTTATTCAGAAGAATATGGCCCCAGGGTCATTGTCTGTTTTCAAGAAAATTTATCACCAACCTTAAAGGTATGCTTGGCAATAAACCAAGCATAGTGTCACATACCTTTAATCCCAGCACTCCAGGAGATAGAGGTAAGTGGATCTCTGCAAATTCAAGGCCAGCCTAGCCTACACAATGATTTCCAGAACACCTATGTCTATGTAGAGAGACCCTGGTTCAAAGAGAAAAACAAAAGTGAGAAATTTTTACATCTTACAAACAAAATATCAGTATTCCCTCTGTGGGGAAAAATGTAGAATTTGCCGATGCTGGGGGGCGTGGGATGAGTGGGGAGTGTTCTCTATAGCAATGAGAAAACCATCCAGACTATCCAAGTGCTGAATGGCCCCTGTACAGTTTGTCTACACACACAGCCTTGGTATCAGTCTGCTTGTACAGTTCTTAGGAAATTTTGCCTGATGCAAAATACTGCTAGGTAGCAGTACATGTTGGAAGAGAAGTTGCTCAAGAACAGTGAGTTAGAATGCTCAAAATCAATTGAAGCTTTTCCCATAATTATTAATATTCATAACAGGTGAGTCAAATTTTAGGCTCATTATTTTCTCATATTTGTGCAGGTTAATATTCCAGGTATAACTGCGAATGGAGTTACAGAGTTCAAATGCCTCCCATAAGAGATGTAAGAAAACATAAAATCATTAAAAATGCTTTTAGTCCTTTCTTTATGAATACTGTTCCAAACTGATGCTACAGCTGAAGGTCTAAAACGCCATGATCTGTGGTCTCCATAGGAACCAGGCATCTTTAGGGATGAGCAAGGCAAAGAGTGTTTAGCTTCCTTGCAATTGGTCATGACTTTGGCTTGGTGGGAAATTTCTAAAACAAAAATACCCTCCAATGTAGCCACATGAAGGATATTTTATAACACTTATATTCAAAGACTATGCCAAGAATGTAGCATCCCGGCATTTATTGGCTGCAATGATCTCATGTTGTTCCAAATATAACTGTGTCCTATTTGATTGTTTTGCACTCATCCCATCCTCGTACAGATCATTGTTCAAGAAGAACAAGCCAGTGTTTGAAAGACCTCAAAGAAAATGCAAGACTTCGGTCAATGGAAAAAGTAACACAAGAATCAGACATTTCAGTAAATTATGTACCTTCCTGACCTATTCCATTATAAGAGAAAATGTCACCATTTTAAGCTTCATTAATCCATGCTGGGGGTGGGAGTGGGAGGGGTATCTCCTTTCATTAGTGACTATAGATGAAAAGTTTCCTTGTATGCTTGATTATATATTGATGAAAAGTTTTGCAAATAATTGACTAGAAATTTTGCTCCAAAATTTCAGTTGAGTTCATTAAGTCCATTAAGACTTATTAGATGCTATTAAAATTTGTTCATAATGTTATCATCAAAATGTTTATACTAGCTCCATGAAATTGAAGTTCTCTTATCATTCTAACTGCTGAATTCAGTTTCATTGTTTTAAATAAATTAAAAGGCCAGCAAGTCCTGCCCCTCTCTTTCCTTGCCAGACAGGCAACATACAGTTCCATGTTAGTGGTGTGGGTGCTTTTCCCACAGTAACAAAGCTCACCTTCAGAAATACCACAAACATAAATGGGTAATATTAGATGGGTAAGTCAACACAAAAGTATTTGCTATTAAATGCAGAGTTGCTTTTGGATAATTCAGAGTAATTTGTCAGATAGTACTAGGGTGACTCCTTCAGAGTGCAGACTAATGTTGCAAAGACATGTTTATGGAGCCAGAGTATGCTAGGATAGAAATACCTACCGTTTCTTCCTTGCAACTGAAATCAGAAACTACAGTAAAATATGTAAACATGAGGGGCAGGTGAAAGCTTTAATGAGAAATCTGAGCTGTTAACAAACTCCTTGAATCCAGCGAGAGCTTCCCTTATCAATAAAACTCTGGAAAACAAATCATCAAAAAGAACTTTCTAGACATAGATGACTAAGGAACTTTTGTGACACTATACTTGACTCTGCAAATCCTTTATAGCAAAACTTAAAATAATCAATGCTTTTATTTAAAAAGACATGAATTTGGGGTGGAATGGGGAGATAGGGGTAGATCTGGGAGTGGCAGAGGGGAAATAAGAGATGAATTTGTTCAAAATACATTATATGAAATTCTCAAAGAATTAATAAATAATTTTTTAAAATCAATATATATTTCCAAGTTAATAAGATTACATATGGCTTTGCCTTGTTTTATGATACCTAACTAAATAACTATATGTACATATTTAGTCCTGGAGAGTTAAATCTATTTTTAATAATTTTTAATGTGTCTACTTGCATGTTCAGAGAATGTTTTATGCTTGTCACCTATTTAAAATAAAGAATAGAAAAAAGAGTTTGGTATGTATTTGAAGTAGATTTAAGAATATTATTAAGTTAACTTAGTTCAATTAGGACCCAAGTGACAAGGTAATTTTAAGTGTACTTATTTCAAAAACTATAAAGTGTTAGACTAAGAGAAGAGCTGGGCCAGAGCACATGGGGAGTGGGGGAGGGCAGTGAGTGGAGAGGGAACTAGGAGAAAAAGAAGGGGAGGAGAGGAAAGCACATGGGACTAGGAAGATTGAGTCAGGGGAGGAAGAGATGAGAGAGAGAGAGAGAGACAGAGACAGAGACAGAAAGAGAGACAGAGACCATAAAAGAGGGAGCCATTATAGGTTTGAAGAGAAAACTGAACCTAAAGAAATGCCCAGAGACCTACAAGACAGACTCCAACTAACAATTTGAGCAACAGTGGAAAGGCTACCATAAATGCCCTTCTCTGATAATGAGATCAACAACTAACTTATCCACCATCATGGAGCCCTCATCTAGTACCTGTTGGAAACAGAAGCAGACACCACAGATAAACACTGAGCCTAACTAGAATCCAGGTGCAGAGAGGGAGGACAAGACCACGCTGTAGAAACACATAGAGACAGCTGACCTGAACAAGGAGGAGCTCACAGGCCCCCAGACTGATAGCTGGGAATCCAGCATGGGACTGACTCAGACCCCTAAACATGGGTCTCAGCTAGAAGGCCCGAGCAGTCTAAGGGACCTCTGACAATGGAACCAGGATGTATTCCTGGTGCACAAAAGGACCTTGCAGGCACATCCCTCATGGAAGGATACTCCCCTAACCTAGAGACAAGAGAGAAGTCCTAGTCCCTACTCAAAATGACTTGACAGATTTAGATGACCTCTCCTGGATGGCATCACCCTACATGTGGAGTGGAGGGGATGAGAGGGGAGGATGGTTGCGGTGCATGTGAGGGGGGAGAGAGGGAAAGAGGAAGGGAGGAAGGAAAGAAAGAAGGGAGGAAGGGAGGAAGGAAAGGAGGGAGGGAGAGGGAACTGGGATCAATATGTAAAATTTAAAAAAGAAAAGAAAAAAAGAGAGAGGAGCTGGGTCTAACCTTGTCTCTAAAGTAATATACTGGTCAAAGGCAGTAAGAGGTTATAGTGGTGTGCTGTCTCAATCAGAGCTCTGGAATGCAGAGGATAATTAAAGTACAAATGACTTTAACCTCCTTGAACTGTTATGGGCAGTTTCTCTGTGATTGTCAATCAGCTTTCACATTGAAATTTAGTGTTTGCATGAAGAAATGATCTTTATCCTCTTGTATATTTTATAATTAAATCAGAAAAAGGAAAATAAAGAAAAAAACAGAAAGAGCCCTTTCCTGTGAAGACATTATGACCCCGGGTATGACTCTAATCGGGGTTCTTAGAATTGGGGATTGAAGTGAGCAAGGGTTAGAGAGCTCATTATTGGATGTTGGCTGTTCCCTATGGAGATGTAAACAGAGGGTCCAAATGAGGGAGAAAGAATAAGGAATGCAAAGAACCAAGAGTGTGGAAAACAAAGTGTTTCAGTGATATTAAAATACAGTGGTATACCCTTAGCTTTCTTGTGTACTTCAAGCATTTATTCCACCAAATAGCTATTTTCACAAAAGAAACTCCTAAAATACAGATGCCCTCATAAAAAATTTTTACCCGCAGCATGAGTGTGCCCATGTCAACATGTATGGCTAATGTGTCCTGTCTCTAGTTCTGCTCCATTGGAAGGTGTGCACTGGTGGCTGCAAAACTCACTTTCAGCTTCTAGAATTAAGCATGTCTTTTGTTAGCTGTTAGAAGAATGACAGCAAAGGGTAGAATACTCTGAAAAGGCTTTTTCTCCCAGTGCACCAATCATCCCAGGGTAACAGAACATTCTGGAGTGTCCCTGGGTCAGAAATCTCTGAAGAATTCTGGGAGACTCAGAGTTCCCCAAAGGAAAGGTAAACCCAAAGACCCCAGTGTTCCCATGTGTAGCACCCTCTTTGCCCTCTCACATACTGACACGCCCCATCTCTCTGCCCTCTCACATACTGACAGGCCCCATCTTGCCTACAGATAGGCATCCACCACCTCTCTTGTCATAAAGTGTAGATATAACAGACCCTGGTCACATGCTGCATCTCTTCACTTGATTGACAGGAAGATGAGGACCTCTGCTCAGCCTTAGCCTTTGCATAAATGTATATCATAACTCCCAAGATAACTTCTTTGGATATGGAAAAAATAGGGTATCTTGGAAACCTTGGGACATGATGATATCATGATGCAACATGCAAGTTCTAAAAATAAGAATGGGTGTTAATAAACATGCAATATTATGTGAAAGATGACAACTAGTTTTACATTAGCTACACTGTGTGAGGGGTACTGTTTTCAGACCGAAATGATAATCTTAAGCCATAGGACTATCATTGATCTTGGTCTTTCTTTTATTTTGTTCTAGCTTCTTAATATTCTAGAATATGCCCTGTTACCTTTTCAAAGAGTTGAAGCTATTAATATTTTCAAAGTTAAAAAGAAGCATGAACAAGACAGTTGCTAAGACACATTTCCCACATGGATATCCTACATGGGTTTTACCTATGACCAACCAAAATAGCCATCCAAAATTTTGAGTTCTTATTGGGTTTGGCAATGAACCTTCTGCTTCTATTTTGTGGAACAATTTGAGAAGTATTGGTATTAGCTCTTCCTTGAATTTCTGGAGAATTCTGTACATTCCATATTTTCATTTTTAAAAATCACTGGGAAAATAGGAAACAAATCTGGCTTTAAAAACACACTGTGTCATTTGGATGTTTTACACATCACCTAAGTCAAGGGGTGGTGGAGAGAAGGGGGAAGCTGCCAGCATTCCTGATGTCCTGCTGTTGACATTGCTCTTGATGGACCAATGGTGTTCATGGACCAGTAGTGTGAATACAGTAGTGGAGTGGCATTTAGCAAACACAGGAGTCAAGTCTGAGTTAGAGGCCCCTTCATTGAGCGACTCTTGTGTTGTCTTAGCAGCTATGAAGGGGAGGAAAAAAGACAGATATCAGTACTGAAGAGGGTCCTGTGCTCAGCTTTGGGATAGCAGCAAAAGCCATTATGTGTGTAACATCAGCCCCTTAGAGGTCTCCCAACTCCACACTCAAGCCACAAGCTCTGATCAGAGATGCCAGCTCACTCTACACAGCAGGCTTTAACTGGCTTTAAACATTGAGTCCCTGCAAATAAATAAATAAGCAAACAAATAAATAAATAAATGAAGACACATCCTCCACAGCCGATTCTACACTAGCATGTGTGTTTGTTTCACAGGGCAACGTCTCTAGACAAAAATCTATAGGCCAATATCTGCAGGCCGATATCAGCAGAAGGTAATTGAAGAGTTAGTTGGTGATGTAGTACTTATCTTGTGAAAGGCCCTGGCACCTACTTCTAAAAGGAAAGTTTGTAATCACATGGCAGAAATGGCACTCTTTTTGTTATGAGGAACCATCGTGAACATGCGTGAGAAAGCAAAGGATGAACACAGAAAGTTTTACATGTATCATCTACACAAGAAGTTCTTAGATGAAGGTAAAAAGGGAAAAACTTCCCTCCTTGCCCTTTAAATACATTCTGAAAAAATGTTTTTGACAGGGATTTCCTTGAGCACCCTATAGAAACACGGTGTTCCTAGCTGGGAGTTCACTGCTGTCACCCATTCTAGGACTTTCCCTCATGAGCCACCTCAAGGTCACAGTGAAGTCATTGCAGGACTCTCTGCAGGTTCAACCTGTCTTCAGCTCCCAGTGAGTCAGCAAGGCCAAACTACATATCTTCCATAGTCCA